TTATTATTATTATTATTATTTTAGTAGAAGTTTCATATTAAGTCAATTGGGTTGTATGAGAGTCGACATATTTACCAGAAGCAGGAAAGGAGCTGGAAGAAAGGGCAGATGTCATCAAGTCTTTTACATCTTTCACTCCCTTACACTTCAAAATCTGTGCCAGAGCTGACTGTAATGCATCTTTTCTCAGCATTAGAAACTTTTCTGCATCACCGACTAATGAGCCCTCCTACAGGGGAGAAACTAAACTGACATAAATGATATGACAACAAAGACAGTCATAAAGAGACACATATTACATACTCTTGAACAAAAGACTTCTCTCTTTGGATTCTATATTTTAACAAGGATGCAATGAGAAAAACACATTCTCTGTTTGGTTCAAAAAATGAGGCAAATGCAGGTATACACATAATCAAAGGAAACGACAGTTGACAGAAATGCACCTATTTGGTTTAATTCTCAAGATATTCAACCATATTCAAAAAGTTTTAGGTTTGATTTCTGTTTTGTTTCAAAAGAAAATTCAAGTTTTCCCCTTATATTGCTTTTCATTTCTTTTATGAAAGCCAAGATGCCTAGAAGAAATTGAATCAAGAGACAACTAAATTATAGTCTTAACTAATACACATCCACGTTAAGGGAAAAAAAATCACCTGGCCAAAAAGAATGTCATATGTGATTATATACATTAACTCTCCTTGCCTCTGCAAAGCAAACAGCAAAATACATCTCAGTTCAGTAAGCAAATATATAGAATCTCAATTAGGAAACCATGAAATTGTCTCGACTTCATGCATACAAAATTCAGTAGTGACTGAATGTTCTTACTTTCCACTTGCCACTAAGTACATTCGCAGCCATTAAAATATCCTTAATAATTGGGAGATCTGCAAACACAGATAGACCAAAGATAAAACATTTGGAAACTGATTAGAGGAAGCCCCAATTTTTTAAGTGATATAAACAAAATATCAACATTGCCTCTACTCTCTACTATCAAAGCAACTACTGATTCAAAACTTGTACACGAGGCATTATTGGTTATATATAAGTAGTTATCAAAGCACCCACCGATTCAAGACTTGTATGATGTGGATTACTGTTCAGGCACAGCTACTTATCAAAGCAACCACATATTAAAACTTGTACACTATGCATTAGTGGTCATTCACTACTAGCACAAATGCATAATAGCAACAAATGAAGTTTAGCTTAGGAACGTTGCTAACTTACACTTGAGCGTTTGGCAAACCAATGCGTAGGTGGCTTTTTTGTTTCTGATTGAAGGACTGTAAACAAGGGACTTAATAGAACCGACGGCTCGGCGCCGAGCGTCACCATGGAGAACGCTGCGCAAGACCTTAGCGGCTTCTCTTCTAGCGAAGTAAGCCGGCCTATCGATTCGCTTCATCTCCGGCTTCAGATTCTTCGTAACTGAATTTGAGATTACCTTCGGCTTCGTCTTCGGCTTCTTTGGAGCCATGGGTCACTTTTATGAATAACGG